TGAGGCCAAAGTTACAAGCTGCCTCACAGAATATTTCAGTGAAACAAAGTGGACCTGACTTTTAACCTTCTTACTTGCAGACACAAAATGTCTAAAGCATTGCTGCTGTATTGACACGTGGTTTTCATCCTGATTGTAAGTTTGCACTCCAAAGCAGGTCTCGCAGCCATACTGAATCAATATTGGAGGAGCAAAGCCCTTGTTCTCTGTGTTTATAGATCCACGCCTTCTGCTGGTCTTTGCTTCCTCTGCACATTCTGATCACTGTCTGTCTGCTCCCGACGTGACTGGAGAAATGCAATTTATGCCGCCTTTATCTATGGTCGAGAGATACGCAGAATGCAGTTCTGCCTTGGATGATTTTTGGTCATAAAATATCAGACAATTATGCACATTGTAGAGTAGCACTAGCTCTTTCAACACTAATTTCTGTTACATTTTATGCTATTCAAATTCATATGATGGTGCTGTCTCACAACATAATGATTAATATGTGCATCAATATAGCGCCTTTAATTTTTAAGGGGGTGATATTTGCATAAAGTACTAATTGTGTATGCCACTGTGTAACTTGCAGTCATCAACACAACTAGCACCAGACTTCAAGAAAGTTTTTTGTGCACATTAAAACCATAACTTACAGAATACATGGATACAGGTCTCAAGGTTTATGCAATGCAAATTATTGCATTAAATTCAGGTGGTTTAGTTTGCTTTTAGTTTGTGGTAATTTGATGAAATGCAAATGTACCTTATCAATATGCATCAAATGAACTATTGAGCTAAATGTTGACACTGGGTTTCTCTACAAGACAAGACCTTGAGAGTATATAATAATATCATTTCAGGGAGCTTATCACTGACTTTGTTAATCAAATTACCACAGAGCAATTACACACACAGAACCTGGAGCTTTTAGGGCCCCTGGGGTGGTGGATTGTTTTGCCCAGTTGGTAATTAAGCTTAAAACTGTGCATCATTACACACAGAAAACACAATATGTCCCAAAATGTGGCTTCAGTGTATTGTGAAGCACCATAATAGGTATAAACATTATGTGTTCTTAAGCTACCCTGCCCAAAGTGTATTACTGGCACACTGTAACACCAAACAAAAAACAATGTAAGTTTACAGCCATTCCTACTTTACACTACTTTACGCCCCATTTCTTTCACTTGATGGAACAAACCTATTAAACTTCAATTTTATCCTGTTAGAAGGGCAAGACACATCTATTGGGAGTTTCAGAAAAAACGTTGCTGAGTCTCAGAGGATGCAATATGTGATAGGTGAAAGGCAAGCTATCTTGCATGCACCCACCCCCTCAATCACCAATCCATTCGCAGCTCTTCTCCAAACTCAGACAAAGCCTCACCTCTTGACATATGCTACAGGTCCATCAGTCTTGATCAGCAGATATGCAGTTCACTCAGCTTAGCAGTAAGTTTGTGTGTGTGTGTGTGTGTGTGTGCGTGCGCGCGCGCTTGTATGGATACTCCTCGCCTCGCAACACCTCCTGCCTTCCTTTCCTGAGAAACTGACTCAGCAGCCTCTGTCAGGTCTGCTTAATTTTGTCATGGTTGACTTCCTGCTACCTGGAGTCTCATCTGCCAGAGCCCCTTAATCCACTTGTCACTCACGACAACAAAAAGCTAGGAAGGTGCTCCTTGAATGAAGACAGAGAGGTGGAGCATTGGTGGGTGTATGGGAGAGTTGGATTGGAGGCTTTTGTGCGAGTGCACAGGTGCTTGGCAGCAGCTGTGGCAGTGCTGGAGTTACCGCATGGAAGATTTCAATGCTCTTACCACTGATCAACAAGCAGCCAGTAAATCCATCAATGGAAATTAAAATGCATCATCCCTCCATTGAGGCAAATAAAAAGTCTATAAACTGTCATAATAGTGTTTATAATATTAATTAATAATTAGTTTCAAATAAACAAACATCACTCTGGTTATTGCAATTAAAAATGCATTTTCATCATCACTACTTTTGGCAGACCTTTTGGCAAAGAGGGCATTAAAGTTGTAGTTGTTGCACCCCAGGAACCTAAGATGAAGGCAGGAATGGGCAGTCCTGAGGATGGATGATGATGTACAGTGGTGAGTTAGATTTGAATTAGTTTTCATGGATCTCTGTTCTCTGTGTGTGTCCAATATGCCTCCACGACGCCTACACTCCTGCTGATCTTTAGCTAGAACACCTACAATAACCAACAAAAAGCTTTTTGATGTGCAGAGACTTTTCTGTGGTTATTTTACAGCAGTCTGGCTCTGATTGTGCATGATTTAAATGAGCTAGGCATGATAGATTAAAGTTCTGTAACTGTACTTTGTTTGATTTGAGCATGGATACATATTTCTGTTGCATTCAGATGGCTGTAGGAATTATATGAAGTGAAAAATAAAAGCTTCAAGGAGCCTACATGCAGTTATAGATAAAATATTCTGATATAACCCATTAAACTTTATCTCAGACACGACTTTATTGGCAATTTTGCCATATTCACATTAAAGTTTTTTTAGTGTTGAAAGTAGGAAACATCCAGTCGCCAGATCAGGTGTGTCAAATTACATTAGACAGATTTTTAACCACATGTTAAAATGTTATTCAGCTCACATGAAAAAAATTAAACCATCTATAATCCATACTTAATTGTATCTATACCTTTTTACAAAATTTCAATTACGGTTTTGTGGAGCTTGGTGTGAAAGTCATCTCATAAGACAGTGGTTCACATAGCGTGGGCTCAAAATCTTGCAGGCTAAAGTTAGACTTGAGTATTGAAGTTTAGAGAGTGTGTTTGTTGCAAGAGGTGATGCACTGTTGCAGGATGAAAGTCCATATGATCATGAGGCATTCCAATTTCTCCGTGGTGCAGCCTATTTTCACATCTGCAATCTGTTTTCTGCCAAGAATTGTGTGATTGCAGACCCATGGAAAACCAGAGAAGTCTAAATAATTATGATCACCAGGGCTTGAAATTAACACCGACTAACCCACTCAGTGTTGGTAAAATTTGACTGTGGCAGGTAGCACAATTCTACCTGCACCTTTTGTAGACTGAGGTTTTCAAACTGTTTGAGAAAATAGAGGCATCATTCCCATTGTGTGTATGTTGTTGTTGTTGTTTCTGCCACGACACAGCTGTAAATATATCATTTTTGTTTATCTGTTTCGATTTGCAATTTTTACTTATAATTGAAAAAAATACTCAGGTGGAATAATACTAGAAACACACTGATGCATTTCACAGTCTGCACTCAATGCTCCGTTGTTCAGGGTTATCTGGGTCCCTACAACTATACTGGGAGCATAATAGAGGCAAGCAGTCCCTGCTGCTGAACTGCAAACATGTTAATCAAGTTGACGTCCTCACACAATAAAACATCCCAGAAGCAGTGCTGCACACTAAGGTTCACTCCAACTTAATTTTTTTTTTTTTTAGTGGTGGTGCATGTATTGCCTCGCAAACTAGGTGCATATGAGCAAGGTCATGGCAAACAGGGGATGTTGTCCAAGGCCCCTGGGCCCGGCAGTATTATTTATTTGTTATACAGGTATACACATGGAATCATAATGCTTATCGCTGCCAACCTGGTACGGGACTGATTCACTTTTAGACACTATGTGGGGCCTGAGTTGTTGTGGTCAAGCTTCTTTTCAGTTCTTTGTTTTTCTTGCAATAAAATGTTTTGTTTGAGTAAGCGTTTTATAAAATGTAGCCTCTGGCAGATACACATGAAGAAAAAAAAAAAAATGTAGAAAAACTAATTACATTTCTGACATCACATTCACAAAACTGGGTGTAATAAACAGCTGACAGCAATACTTTGATCTGTGTGTCGGCATGCCATTTGATAGTTCGCATGATTTAGTAAGTATAGACTAAACAGAAATGTATCTGGAGAAAATAAAACCTCAAGCCCTGTTGCGCAATGCATTTTTATCATTATTATGATTATTAATGATCATAGTTATTATTTGAGACATTTTGTGTTTTATTAGTCGGTATTAAATTTTAAAAAGTAAAAGTAAGCGGAAATTTTGAAAAACTTAAAAAAAAAAAAAAAAAGTACTTGAAATGCATGAAAGGGAGTTTTAATACAGAACCTAACCTTAAGCTGATACTGCCTCCCTCCTCCTACGTGAAGCAACTCGGGCTAATTACTGAAACATGGTCACGAGGGAGGGATTTTCCAAAAACTCTGGCTTACTTGGTTTTGCTTGATGTTATTTATATTCTACAATTGCTTTCCCTAGACCACTCTCCTCAGTGTCCCTGGATCCAGGTCCCTGGAAAGAGCATGTGGATGTCTAGAATTGGCAAGCAGTTGCAGGAAGAAGGCCTCGTATTTTTCCTCTCGTCGTCCCAGACAGAAAGAGGAGACTGTCATTTGCTAAGATCAATCCACGTGCCCTGTTCCAGTTTCTTAATGTTCACGGTTAACTTACTTCCAGAGCCTCCCACAATCAAAATGTTATGTTTTGAAACCGTTGTGTTAAAAACCGTTCTCATATGACCCTGACACATAATGAATATGGATACAGGAAATACGTGTTTAGAATCACAGAGACGCATATATGTAGGTAGATGTACATGTGTAACAGTCTGTCCTTGTCTGCATTGGTTTATTTTCACTACGTTCATCTACTTTGTAGTTATCGACCATCTGTCTCTGGACAAAGTGAAAATAAGGTGTTTATCTGATTGTCAAAACACATTGTTCGTGTGGGTGCACAATGTTTACGTTTTCCTGACAGGCAACCACTTTCTAATAACTGTTTCCTCTCATTACCAGAGGTAGCACAGCAGAAATTCTTCAGGTAATACTGCTGTTTACAAGATGTAATGTGAAAGTTTCCCTTACCTTAACCAAGAGGATGACCTTTCCCTTCTCTTGTAGTTTTAGTTATTAACAGTGGCATTCATTTTTCATTGCACAAGAAAAAAAAAAAAAAAAAGTATAGTACGCTAATGTTTAATATGCAGCACCAACCTTGATGGCATTGGTGGAAATCTGGATCTCATGCAGCTTCCTCATCGTGCCGTCGCGGTCAATGAAGTATGACGAGGCCAGCTGATGGAGGGCTTCCACGTTCTGAGTAGCGTTGGCAAGCTTCCTGTCCAGCTTGTTTTTGGCCAGGTACATAGTCAGTGCCTCCTCTCCTACAAGTAGCACAAGGAAATGGAAATATGATTAGGATTATGCTCCACGTGTTAAGTGACTAAGCAGGGGGGAAATATATACTAAAAGAGCGAGTATCTGAGGTCTCAATTGAAGAAATTATCTTTAGTTAAGGTGCAGTGAATAAATAATGTGAGTGTACTGTCGATGTCTTCATTTGTGAGAGTCGTCCAATTCAGGCTTATCTCAGACGCCAATGGAGCTCTTAACATGAGAGATAAGTCAGAGGCCTGAAAACCAAGGCAAGCAGTTTTAGCTTGAGAAACCAGATGCCCCACTTTTCCAGGAACCGTCTCCATATTTGCTGCTTTATCCCCAGCTGGCACCATCCCCAGAAATGTCCCCGGATTTACCCCTATTGGGATGGCATTATTTCCATGAGAGGTCTAGTGATATAGAATTTTTACTTCGATACCACAGGAATTTTTTTCCTGTGGAGAACAAATACAGTTCAGTCCATAAATCTGGGACCACTTTCCGACTGTATCTCACATCTAGCTATCTTTATTCTCAGCTACCCCATGTAGAGGAAAGACAAATAGAATATGAACACACAAATAGAAAATAACATCACTGATTGCAGAGATTTAATTAGTGCCAAGAAAATTAGCAAATAGGGATGAGTACAGAAGCTGCTGCAGCTGGTGTTACAGCTATGTGGAGCCACTTGAGGATTGTACCTTTTTATTTGTGCTGTGGCATTGTTTGGCATCTTCCCGGAATTTTTTTTTTTTTTTTTTTTTAATTTTCATCTGGATGACTGAGTAAAATTACTCATGTGCATGGCCAATTCAAATCACTGACCCTGTCTGGGGATACAGACACTGCCTGGAGAGGTGTTAAATTATATCTTTCTTTTCTATTTCTTTCTCGTTTTACACTTTAAATCATAGAAAAATACCTTGTGTGTCAGGTTGTCATAAATCAACTAGGCTGCACACAATAAACTTTCAGCAGCTAAAAAATATGTTGACATATTCTTAACTGGTCGTAAGATTAATTTGGCTCGTATTTTCCTGACGTAACAGAATGAAGCCAAACACTCCTGATGAGCCATTGTTGTAGCTGATGGTGGTGTTGTTCCCCGAGATGTTCAAATGTGGACTTGGGTCGACCCTGAAATCCTCCATTTGCCGGGTTAGAGATAGATTTCCCACCTCTAATGTGATGTGAGTTTAAAATCACATCACCACCACTGTAATAAGGTCACAACTACTGTGAATATAAAACTGATTATGCACACACACACACAAAAATCAGCATGTCTCTAATCTCTCTCCATAAATAGAGTCCTATGCCCAGACTTAAGATCTAAGAGGTGAGAACCCAAAAGCCCATACAGGACCCTCATCTCTTGTGTGTATGTGCTGTATGTAAAGTTTGACGGTCCACAGGAAATAGAGGGAGGCTGGTTTTTATACAGAAACCCTGACCTTTCGGTAAGTGTCTGAAAAGGGGGATGAATGTGAACGCTTAGAGCAGCAATGGGACCAAATATTTGCAGAGCACCAGACAATCGCTCTGATTTTCATGGCATATGTTTGTTTGTTGATACAAAATAACAGGCTTGAGCTGCTCATTCTCTACACATCATATTTCTCCATCTTTCATTCCTACCAGCAGAAACAGATGCATAAAAAGCAAACACAGATTCACTTCCCCAAGCTCATGCAACCTTTCCTTCGAAGATTACTGCTCAAATGGCAAACCATATGCCTGGAACTCGTTCGAGAGCATGTCACATATGTTCAGGTTTCCAGTGCTGTGAATGGTTAGGTGGCCCCGAGCGATGCATTGGAATTGGTCACTTAACTTGTGGTGACCGTGACTAGGGGTGGGTAGCAGTCAGGGCCAATGTCTCATGCCTGGTTAGAGTACAAGCACTGAGGGGACAAGGCCCCATTCTCTGACGCTGCCATGCTCTCTCTCCCTCGGGGGTTAGCAAAGTTACTTACACACACTTGACTTACACTACTGCACAAGAATAATGGTGCCACATTAAGCCCTTGATCTGCCCTTTTTTTTATTTTTTCTATCCCTATTGCAACTAAGTGTGGCCTAATGGAGGTCTTTTGAACATAAATATGTTGTGGCTATTGCGACTGGTCAGGCAAAATCATTACCTCTGTGGCTTAAAAAAATTAATTTGTGTGCACCTTTCTGTAAGTAATACAATGTGGTACATTATTACAGGGCACCTCCCTGACACTGCCAGAATTAATCAGCTCATGCAGAGCTTATGTGTTTAAGCACTTAAAAACACTGTACTGTTTCCCCTCAAAATCAGCAAAAGTGGATGTGCAAGGGCATCTACGATATAATATACAGTATACATGTATAATATGTATGTGTGTGTACTTGTCTGGTTATTTTTGTGACAACTAGTTTGAGTTTTATACCTTAGGTATCAGGACGTTTTGGGAACCTATCCTGATTTATTCTTTTATGCGATAAAGGAGGTCTTTGTAAGTTTTGCTATTGCTACATAGGCAATGTTAGCATTAACAACTGTTTACTTATCAGTGTAGAGGAAACGTGAGTTTAATATTAAACTTCATTTCTTTACTTGCCAAGAGCAGTCTCCAGTAGTGGAAAGCAACACTTTTGTTTTGCTTCTATTTCTATCACTTCCTTTCATTTACTGAAGTTAGCATGTTAATCAGCTTGCCCCGGCCTGATCGGACTGTCTCGCCACTTTCCGATACAGAGTCACTGTAGCGTTCAGGCTGCTCTGAAGACGTAGCGCTGCTCAGAGGGCATACTATTACCTTGTGTATTGTAAACACAGCAATGGCTGAAGCTCTTGCCAAAGTAAGTAACACTGGCTATGTAGCAATAGCAAAAAAATTGCAAATAACTCCTTTTAAAGCTGTTTTCTTTTTGTAATTTTTGGGGACCACATCCTGCAATAATAATAGTCTATTGTTAAGCAATTACAATAAATTTATGCATTTTTATAGATATGACAAAAGTAAAGAAAATGGTGACAGTGGTTAATTGTGAAAACATCAGAAATATATGGCCACTGGTTGCTGTTATAATTACTTCTTGGAAACTGGTGGATAGGCTTTCTAAAATAAAATGTGTAATAACTGCATACATACAATACATCCAAATAAGCAGAGGAATGAAATGAATCAGTTTTATCCTCAACCATAGATTGTTCATGGTTTATGCAAGAGATATATCAATGCCAAAAACAGCTACAAAAAGTTTCAAGCATGATGTGGTAAAAGCTTCCAGTGTTGACAGACTGTGTATTCTTCCACTACAGCCAAGGGCACAGCCGGAGTTCTGCGTACGAACTCTAGCCTCAGGCTTCAGTGACCGCAAGTCATTTTAATAAACTACATCTTCCTCCTCAGTGCTGAACGCATTAGACTATTGCAGTGAAAAGGTTTGCGATCCAGTCATAGGTTGTGTATTCACTCGAGAGTAAGAGGAGCACAGATGCAGTCTCTACTACATGTGAAGTCTTTATCTCATCAATGTAATAAGAAAAGAAAAAAAGTCATCAGACAGAAAAATTGATACATTTTTAGGGCACTATGTAACCCTTTGAGAAGAAAAAAAAACATCCTATCTCATATAAATGAAATTCAAATGATAAAATATAAAATGCAGCCTTCCACAATTGAATACAGCCAATGACCATAACCTCTTGTGGTATTGTTACACTGTGTATAGCATTCACCATTATCTTACATATGTCACTTGTAGCCACAGTAGCCTCACTTGGGGGTGTTTTTTTTTTTGCCCTCCTTAGCCCTGTATGTTTGTACTCCTGCTCTCCCATGAATTTTTGCAATTGCTTCTCTCAACACTAACGCTATAGACCTTTCTGTGCAAACACCAACAGATTTCACGGTGAAGCAGCAGTGCCCTCACTCAAAGTAGAAAACTGATTTCAAACATATGAGGGAGTGGAAATGACAGATGTGCTGAAATATGTCCCTCACAGCTTTAGCAAAATTCAAATCTGTCCTTCACACTTTTCTTTTTTCTCAAGATCAATACCAAGAGCAATACCTTTCTATTGCGTTTATATACAGCCTTGGTTATGCAGTGACTCTGTTGCCCAATCTTTAAGCCTTGGGCACTTAGAAATGTTTGGGTTTGTCAATAAACTTAAATCCCCAGTATAGTTCTCTGCGGCTACAGGCAAATCGGAGATGTTAAGCATCTATGTCAAACTGTTCTGATGTGTTTTTCCATTTCAGCTTCAGAGCTTCAGTTAAATTCTGGAGCATCGACTCACAGTGGTGGTGTCTTTTGTTGGGAAATCTGAGACGTATTTGTTCTGTTAAAGCTTCAAGTCTCCCACGCGCAGTGTGCACCCAGGATGCAGTCGGGTCATATGTTACACTTCAAAATATACATCCCTTGAAGCCTCCCTTTTTTTTTTTAAAACATCCACATATCCCAGAAAAGGCAGCTCTGGTAGGTATGTAAAATGTTCAGAAAGGAAAAAGGCAGGGGATAATTGATAATTACTTTTCATAATGTCTTCAGCAGACGGTGTCAGTCAGTAGTATTGAGAGAAAGTAACCGACAATCATCGTCTCTTAAAAGCTTAGAATGGAGCTTACCCAGTCATTACTACAGTACCGTACTTCTACACATTTACTACTGAGAGCTACAGTTTGGAACTAACATGGTCCAATTTCCAAAGACAGCTAAAGTTAAAACTGGTGTCATTATTATCATCATTCCAATTATTGCTATGATATTTGTAAATAAATCCGATGTGAGCCCGATCAGCTCCTTAACCATCCTTTTAATCTGATTAATCTCTTAAAATATAAGAACCACAGAACAGTTAGTGCATGATTATCTCACTGCACCCTGGGCAAGTGCCTCATCATAGGTACAAAAAAAACAAACAAGATATATAAACCATAATATTCAGTGAAGACTGTCTCCATAAATCCAGACATAAACAAAGGGTATTGTCACAAACAGTTTTTGTCCTCTAAGCACTGTGTGTTGGCGCCTAGTGCTTCCAGACACCACAGGCAGCGTTGTTGTTTTTGCCATGAAAAGAAGCCAAAGAACATTTACATACAAACAAATAAATAAAATGAAAGAAGAAGAAGAAAAAAAAGAAGGTCACGCTTTATTCGTAGCGTCCAAAAGTAATTCTGTTCTAAACTTAGACATTTAGTTTTAAAAATGGGATAAGAGACAGTGTTGCATAATCAGTTGAAATCATTCAGTGAGTGTCCTCGCTGAAAGAACAACACAGGTCAGCTGTAGTGGCAAGGGCAGAGTTAGTGTGAAGTTTCACTGTCCACATAGTCTTCAAGAGGAGGTCAGGGTGAATGACTGGAGATTAAAAAAAAAAGAAGTGTGACATCAACACAGGAGACTGCGGTACTTGCGTCATGTTCTGTCATGTTACCATGGACTTTCCCTAACCAAAACCAAGTGGTTTTAACTGCCTTAAGTTAACCTAACATTAAAGGTGCCATGTGCAGTTTCCTAAGTTCTGTTTACATCCAGTCTTACTCATCAAAACATATTAAGTGTGTCCTCGAAGCCTAAAAACATGTCGTATGCATTTTCTTCCTCAAAAAAACATTTGTAAAGCTGTTATATTAATATATTAATTTGTCCATTGTTTACTAGTTCTTCGCTGTCTTTGGATGCACTGACTTGCTTCTTTACACGTTACTGCCACCAAATGTCAGTAAGTGGAATAATGTGAAACCACAGTCCTGGTACTGGACTGTGTATCATCAACCATGTGATCTTGCACATATATGTACATCCTTGTGTACATACACACTACAAACAAAACAGGAATCCACTTGCAAATGTTGCTCCATAGCACTACACTACTAGTAGTCAAAAACTCTACAGGGTTCCTTTAACTGTGTGGGCACTAGGGCAGAAAACTGTCATAAGACATTGTTGAGAGAGTATCTTGTCATTCCTGAATGGGGAATTGCTGGAATTAAATATGCATGTGACACCATGTATTTGTCACTTCAGTGCTGCATCAATCAATATGGACAAAAGAATAAAATAAAAATAAGCTAGAAAGTTAGATAAAAATGTGACTTTCATATTAATATGCTTCCAAAATACATAAATGTGATTACTCTATATTTTTCAGTACTTATCAGCTCAGTATTTCGATCAGTATGTGGCACTTGACATGACTAGATCATCCCAATAATACGCCTTTGTTAGCCTTACGCAACCAGTAGGCTCATAACAGGAAAAGTACATGTTATAGCTATATGACATTGGTTAAGCATTGTAACCATTTCTATTGAGTTCACAGGAGGGAAACTCTAATGGGGCTCTTTACACTTGACCACTCAACTTCACGTTGCCTGGGAGAAGAAGACTTCACTTCTTCCCTCTCAAGTGTATAATGAATCTTGAGATCACAAGGAGTAGGTGGCTAAAGAGAGAATTGGCTTCTTCTTACTTCATCACTAGTCCGCTGTGCACCTTTATTGGTTCGTATAACTGTGTTCTTTAATGGGCAATCACACGATTGAGATAAGAGTGTAGTGACCCATAACATGAAACAAAATGGCCTCAAGGTTAAAGATAATATGGTGATAAGTCACAGGTAGAGAAGAGGAGCCAGAGGTGAAAAAAAAAAGAAAGGCCAGAAATGCAAAGCACAGGCAGCAAAAATATATATAGCGATGCAATACAATGAGACTGCCAATGATTCTGTGGTTGAAAATGATACTGATTATTTCTGTGACTCATTTCTTTTTTCCCAACTATTCTCCAATTTTAGCCACCTGGTGAATCTGTGGCAGTGTCTTTCCTCCTAGATTAGACACGCTTAATTACATTTTACCTTCATATAATGTTTCAGCCAAATATTGTATTTCCAATTTCCAAAATAAGTGTCAGAGCACGAATCTCCTTACAAAGTGGTGTACTTGATCTTGCAGCTTTCTAACCCTTCTTAAATGATATTGCTCTGCACTGTTTAGCAACATTATTCAGCTTTGTCTTTAACATTAAGTGGACTTCAAGCTTTTTAAATGAAAGGACTCCTTTCTTTTTTCTTGTAACCGCTTAAGCATCAATGGCTCTAATTAAAGTATCAGTACCGGCATACCAAAACTGTTTTAATTTGTTCTGCAATTACGAGACAAAAGGACTGGACAATACCGGCTGGCTCTGTTCCACTGCTTTTCTAAATACAAAGAATCTCCACTGAATTATAGGTTTAATAGATGTTTTAAAAATTGAAATAAATATACCCCAATTAAACCAGCTTAACGTGCGTTAAGATCCTGTACAGTGTTATATGAAGGAGAGGAAAAAACATGACATGAAAAGTATCATGAATATTTCTCAAAGGCATTTGATTGTGAGATTACAAAGCTACAAACCTCATTTTAGAACAAGTGGAGCGACTACTTGGCAATATTTCATGCATACAATTATATAATACAGGGTTTGAGGAAAAGAGTGGATTATCTTACTAATTATATCTTTAAAATGCAATTGGCAAAGTAATCACAGTTAGCTGCCTCCATGCATCCCTCCGAGCTCGAGATAAGATAAGAGATTTGAGGGAGAAGCCATTTATATTTAGACTTGGACAGCAGGGGTGCTTAACTTTTATTTTGGGAAGTACATTCAAAATACCGCAATCATCCATTACATAAATTCATTCCTCTTCCCGTGGTGAGTATTCCAACTGGACCTTTAATGTGCATTTTAAAAATATATTTGCTTACAATTGTGGGATATTTTTGGGGGGTTATTATTATTATCATTATTACTATTATTGCCAAAAATAAGAGCCTTCATAAAATACCAGCAATACACATTTCTGTTCATGCTCGTTTCTGACAGTGCTTGTTCTGTAATGTACACTATCTCAAGGGTGCTAATTGTTTCTGATATTGTTCTATAATTAGACAGTGCTTGTAGATAAACCACAGCAATACATATGATAATCATCCTCCTCCATTTACCTGAAAGGGCCATAGGTTATCTACAGGTGTAATTACCATGTGTATGACTGTAATGGTCTTGGGATGTTTTGAATGAAAATGGAGCAGTGTTGTAGATTCTTGTGCAGTCAGGGAGCTGATTCAGAGGATGATTTCTTATCAATTTCATACAATTGGCACGTTTTTTTTTTTTAATCACATTTGATCTATCTATCCATTGTAGGAAAAGAAGCATATTGTGTTAGGTAAACATACTGATTTAAACATGGCTACGGGAATTCTTTTTTTTTTTATAGTTGTCAATTTTGAGTTTTGACTGCCAGCTGGTGAAGAGCTGAAATAGCTGCACACAATATGCTCAAAGTCAGTTAGTCATCATGACATGTTTATACGGTATGTAGATCAGTTGGCTGGGCCACCATGTAAAGCTAGTCGTTCTGTGTCTGAATCTGGTTTGTCATACTTTAAGTATATTTACCCAGTTTTTTTCTTAAACCTGTTCTTCATCAGAAAGCGAACATGCATGAGATACAATATATGTATTATTCTAGATAGCAGAAAACTATTCATTGAAAGTCTGACTTCTGTATTTTGGTGGGCAGCTCCCAGCAGCTACAGCTCGCTTCTGCATTTTTGCCGAACGCGAGAATTCACATTATTTCCATGATGTTACAGTATGTTTCCACTTTTCAAATCTCCCCACACATGTTCAGCGGGGATGAGGTGCAGCGATTGATATCAGATAGCCCTGTCATAGCTTTGATGCAAGCTCTGGGTCACTGTCCTGCTGGAAAATCCACTTAAGCCAGACGAGATTGAAAACCTCTGCAGAATAGAGTGGTACTTCTCTTTAGTTAGTGTGGAGCTGATCCTGTGCAGGCCACCCACAACAGACGGCTGACAGATCCACAAACCTGGGCATATCGAAACGTAGGTCGTACATGCTTTTAAGTTGTCATACACTCTCAACTTTTGTTGTTTGACTAAAATGCTGAATGTTTAGACTTGTCGGCGAAGTAATGGTTTGGAAACTGCTACTCATGCTGGCTTTTCTTTTTTCCGTTTGGCTTGGCTTTACGGATGCAGATGTTGCTGTGTCTCAAAGATGTCTTATAAAATGGTTCAGTAAATCTGCTGGTCTTCCACTGTGGTTACTTTAAGATCACCCAAATCTTGCTTTGGCAGAAAGTTATTTGTTTTGAGAGATTTTCTCCAGTCTGCTTTGTCCTGCCCTCTTCCAGTGTAGCTGCAGTTTTACTGTAGTTTGAGTTTTTCATCACCTTGGAGAACAACACGGCCCCAAACTGTTTCACTGAAGCTGTTTTTGACACTGTTGCAAACAGGCAGATGAATAATCCAGGACACCATGCTGTTGCGGTTTCACAGTATAATCATATGGGGTCATTGAATTGTGACATTTATTTGTACAAATATACAGAGAAATATTTATTCATTAACTTGCTGAAAGGGATCTGTCATTTTTTGTAGTATGTTGCATTTATTCTCTATGATTGATAATTATCAATTCAATGATAAATGAACCGGCTTTTAAAGGATTTATATTAATTGTATTTAATTATTAAATTTCACATTAAATATTCATATCAAGAATTAACAGTTTGGTACCTAGTACAACTTTTAGATACACGTCCAATTTGCAGCCTAATAAATTTATTTTCTGAGAGGAGCCTTTCCAACCTCACCTTTAATTGACATGCATGTAAGCAAACCACAAATCATGTGTAAAAAAAAACATTTAAAACAGAGTGTAAAAAGTGGTAATCAAGCATGGGAGTGAGCAAATGAAACCAGTGAACCTCTCTTACCTCCCAGGGTGGCTGAGATGAGAATGTGGGTTCCATATTTCTTAATGATGGTGTCGATGAACTGCTGAGTAGTGGGTCTGCGGCCCAGCAAGCGGACGCTGCGCTGGAACTCAGGCATGAGTGGCACGGGGTTCCGGATTAGGTCCCTTCTCTCGATCGCTGTGTTCCTCACCTTCCAACGTGCAAATTCCCTGACAATCACAGGAAAAAACAAAACAAAAAAACAAATAGCTGTTTACACCACAATTGCTACAGTTCCAGTATTACATTATCAACAATGATAGTAAAACAGCATTAATTCCAGTGCGGTAACACAATAATTAGCCAGACTCTATCTAACCAAATGCATTTGTGGGAAAACAATACACATCTGCCGGTGCACGCTGTGGCCTAAACTGTCAGATGATGTGGATGATAAAAAAAAAAAATACTGGAATATCCTTCCCTATGTACAAAGCAGCTTTGAAAATTCACATTAAAGTTACTTTTGTTACTGGAAAGAACAATAGCAAACATCTTTAATGAGTGTGGTGATTAAGAAGCTTTATATTCTGCTGTGTTGACTGAAAATGACTGTTTTTCGGACTGTAATTTGACCAGTGTCTCGTGATGTCCTGTAGGATAATTTTCTCTGTATGGTGCTCTGACTTGAATCTCATGGAAGACAACACAAAAACCAACAAGGAATCATATTAACCGATATTACAACTTGTTCAACTGCGCCTCATTCTACCCTTGCTGTTTTTGTCTGCAGTTAAAGATGTACTTCACAGCACAGATGTTAAAAAGACCCCTGCAAAATATCTGCGTGGATGTTCATGATGTTTGCCTCCGTACCCACTGAGAAACACATCAAGAAACCATTTTCACAAACAGACATTACAGGAATCTCTGTTACTCTGAGGGTTACAGGAAAAAAAAAAAACAAATCACCCTGTCCCTGAAAACACCAGGCTTTCTTGAGCTGTGTGAAATGCAAAAGAAGACACTGTTATTGAGTCAGAGGCTAATGCTTAGCATATCCAGGAACTGATAGTCAGGGATTAGGCATTCATGGAAGTAGGTTTCTTTTTGCGTGGTGAAATTGTCAGGATAGACAGTTGCATACAAATTTAGATTTTGTTATTGTTATAAGACAGTTCATACATGTAATTCTGTATATTTGGTTGTTCTGGGAGACGCGCAGCCAGAGAGAATTTCTGATATATTAGATCACTGAAGGAGGCATCATTTCAATGCTAATTTAATCAGAAGCTGTGATTTTCATCATCATCATCTGTTCTTTCTGTCAAATGCAGACATGTTTCTATTTCCATACAGATTGTGCAGATTCCCAACACTTCAAACACCTCTACCAAACATATATGTACGTGCACGGATGTGTGATATATATACGCTCGCACTTTGAACTAAAAGGTGTGAGTATGTGTATATTCAGCTGCACACATTCAAATGGAATGAGTATAAACAAGTGTGCACTCTCCACACTACTGAAATGACTTATTTGAGTCTATTGACAGGGGGAAATGTAATTTCCTAATTACTGAGTGATAGTTTTAAAAGGATTTCCTCAGAATTAGATTTATTTTGAATTTAGGTATATTTAATGCAGACTTTAGTACATGGAATGATGAATCCAATTACAGTAAGTGTGTGACTTAAAGTACAACAGACACTCCACCACATCAAACACAAACAAAAGGTTTCATCGTCTCAATAACGCCACCCTGAAAGCCTGCTCTAATTGAAATCCGAGCTCTGCTCAATAAAGGCAGATACATTCAACATAAAGATCATCCAGTACAGAGACGCAGATAAATATATGATGCAAACACACACACACACACACACACACACACACACACACACACAGCACAATTCACACCAGTTTAGAAGATTTGACTTGTTCTTTGAGCTTTACGGATATTGCATTTTAATCCTACTAAAACATGTATTCAAATCATTCTTGAAGAAAGAAAAAAAAATGGAGGTTTGCTTGCTGTCCACTTAAGTTCATGAAAAATAGAACCATAACAATCCAACAAGAAGATTGAAAAAGGGATTTTTCCTGTTCTTGTTATCATCCTAAAAATAGAAGTCAGTGCCTTTTTTTCAGGCAGAGTTTCAAGGTTGTTTTGTCAACAAAATATCCTGCAAACCACTCCAAAGTTCCTCACAATAATTACTTGTGGAAAAAAAAAAAAAATCAAGACTGGTAAATAAACGACTGTTATGTTGTTGCCAACATTGGGTATGTCACAATAGCAAAAATTACAAATAGCTCCTTTTAGACTAAGGATAACTAATAGGATAAAATGATGAAATGATGATCTTCTAACCAAATCTGCAAAAACACTTGTTGCCATTATTCCAGACTGTAATTCGAGGAAGGAGATTGTGACCATATTTCCTGCTACTGGAATGGTTTGCGGCAACATGCATACATTCTAGTTTCTCACTGATACTGTTGGTATGCTCATACTAAGCAACTTTCAAAATATGCAAAGACTCCTGCGCGCTGTCTCGATTGCAATCAAAACATACCAAAAAATACACAAGAGGCTAAAATAAAAAGGCATTGTGGGAGTTAGTACAGGCACATAACATACACACATCGATTGTAAAGGTTTCTTTAAGACACTATGATAGACCCAGCAGCATTATTATCACCCTAAAGAAAGTGATTTTTTTTTCCCAATTCTAAAAAGTAAGCAATTTGGATAAAAGTCACAGCAAAGTGCTTTGTAACAGCTTCATTCAAAGCTTTCCTCTAAGTATTTTTCTTCCCAACCCTCAAGGGCTCCTCATAATGATTCAGCCATGAATAGGTGGGTCCCCTCAAATTGATTGGTTACTTAGTTTGAATTCTCTGACACGCAGTCAGCGATGTGTCAGTCTGCCTGAGCACAGCTTGACGGCAGCACTTTTTAATGCTCTATTCAGCACTCTTCAGTAGCATTTAAAGTTTCATTCCTCTCTGCCAGTGGACTGTTACGTAATCACACAACTTTATAATGTAGCCCGCATTTCAAAAGGTAATGTCTTCACAGCGCCCAAAAAGGAAAGCAGGATGAAGTCAACATAAAGTATTGGAAGGAGTTAATGAATGCTTATAATTTGACAATACGGATTTTCACAATTGCAGGAATGTCATTGTTTTTTTGTTTTTTTTTTTTCAAGCAGATAATCAATAAACGCTTTAGCGGCAGATTTGCAGAAGTCTTCCTTTCTGACAACTTTGCAATTCCTCAACATTGCAGAGACACAAGTTCTCATCTGGCGGGACAGGGCTCACATCTCATACTTGTACATGCTGATTCAGCCTCCACTCCTGTTCCATGGCTTAGCTTCGGAAGAGGTACACGATGCTGTTCTGAAATCTGGAGCAAACATTCAAGCCAAGAGAACTGCGAGAGACTTTCAGATTTCAGCAGCAGATGTACCAGAGTTTCTCTCTTTTCATTCCTTACCCTGGCTCTCACTGTATCCGCCTCTGCCGCTATCTGCGGTTCTCTTAGATATCAATTCATTTTCATTGAATCCTCCTCATGGCTCCGTCACTGCCAATTATTATATAAAACTTTATGTGGCAGCCATATGTACTTGGACCCCTCTGCCCCAGATTAGGCATGCCAGCAGATGGAACCTGCGACATGATTCAGTGCTTTACTTCACAGCTCCAAGACCAGTTTAATGACCTATCAAAGGAAGTTAAGAGGAGATAAATGGCATTGCAGCTGCATAGGAGGAAAATGGGAACATAGGTGATTATTGCTTTATGGTGTTCAAGTAACTTGCGTGGGAGGGTGGGTATGTTACATTTGCCTGCGTGGAAGTGTCTGTGACCTACAGAAAATACAGGATCCAGGATATGGATGTGGAGAGCCATGAATAAATACTTTCATTTATGTATACTTATTGTAAATGACACTGACGACCTTACAATTTTGCTAAAGCATTTAATGGTGAAGCCTTATACTGCTGTATGGTGGGTCCTTATGCAAGGATAATACACTCCTTGCTCCCACACATTCATGTTCTCTAACAAGCAACATTTTGGCATTTTGAACAAAGAGTTTGCTTGATGATGGAGGATTTTTTTTTCTTTGAAGAATCCGCTAAAGTCGGTTAATCCCTCAGTGCCCTTATTGAGACCACCATTTTATCTGATTCCCTTCCAATGTTTGTCTCAGCACAGTTGAGTCAAGTAAACACGGACAGTGGTTGCTAGGAAATACATTACTGTAATCATACGGCCAACTCCCTCATCTCACGTGGATCAGGACGAGAATGTTTTTCACCAGAGATCATTTGCTTTAATGAATGTACCAATGGCCTTATCATGTCTGCTTCTATTTTAGACCTTAATCAAGAAAAGGCCTGAAGAAAAGTAATGTTTTGTGCACACTGATTGTAATGAAACGTAGCTTTTTCCCCCACCTGGAGCTATCACTCTATACCAGACTCCCTCATTACAGAGCAAATGCAAGATAAATATTAAACTCTGCAAAGAGAGAGTATATGAAGGCAAGCAGAAGAAACTCTGTCAAAGTCTGTCAAAGTCAACACCTGAACAATAAAGCCAATAAAAGAAGCTTTGATTTGCTTTGGACTTTTCAGCATGAAACATTGATATGAACTGTATATCATATCTTGTGTCTTCGGTTCTGTCTGGGAACGCTCATACTTTAAAGTTATCTTTTGAGGATCAACTGGATGCAAACATATAACTGAGATGGCGGAATGAAAACATATTAAAAATTTAATAGAATGTATTAACACATTTCTGCCAGTGTCCCGGTTTTATTATTTTGGATTAATTGATGCTTACAAGGGGTGTAACGATTCATTCATTGCATCAATGCATCAACTGTAAATTATGCCAATTCAACTGCATCATTCTGCTAGAAGAAATAAACATGATGAATTACTCCGACTTCAGCAATGATCGTACTTGAAAGGCTTAGAACTCAAATATTTGCAGTTTCAAACGGATGATCATGGTCTCGACCAGGAGATTAACATTTTGCTGCTAATCATTAAAGTTGTAAAAGTTTATAAAAATCAAATGTTTCTGATACTGTTTGGCTGACTTTTTTTCCTCTGCAATAGACATTCAGTCTATATACACTCGGTAATTGTACGCTTCTCCAGGAGTTTGGATTGGTTATTCTTTGTATCTCAACACAGC